TGCAAGATTGATGGTTTTAGCATTGATGCAACAAAAGAAGATGGAAGACTATGTAGACTCGTCAACCATGGAACGAAAACAGAAATAAATTGCAAAATGAAACTTTATAGGGATTGCCTTTGCCTTTTTGCTACAAGGTATTTAATATTTCTCTAATTTGTTGAATATACCTATATACATATGTAGTATATTTTATATGTATAGAGATTGGCATATCAAGTGTAAATAATTAAATATATCACTTCAAATATTTTATAGAGACATGAAGCAGGGAGAAGAACTTTTGTATGATTATGGCCTAAACTCATACCCATGGAAATCCAATTTAAATTCAGTAAGTTTTTAAGTTTAGCAAATACAATTGCCTTTTTTATTTTATTAGTTAACATTTTTCAAAAATATATATTTCTAAAATAAACTTCTTGTCTAGAGGGGCAAAAGTTCAGGTGAGTAAAACAACATTTTAGATAATTATTTTCTTTCTTATGTAAAACACTTTTATTTTTCTTTGTAATAATAATTTAAGGTTATAATGACTTCCTTTTTTTTGTTCTAATTTTTGGACTTTATTAAGACTTTTTCATTTTTTTGTTACTTTGTTATGTTTTACCAGTAAGTTTCAGGAATAATATGCAAGGTATTTTGTTAAAGCTGTCTGTATTGGTAGGTTATGAAATTTTTTAGGCAAATTAACATGTATAATTAATTGTATTGCTGAAATTTCTAACATTGGTATATACATGTATGTGTTTTATAGTTTTTTTTACAATAATTAAAGATCAAAAGGATGATACAAAGGAAGAATGTGGTCCTGCAATGGTAGACAGTGATCGTGCTGATGAAAGGTCCCAGGGTGTTTGCGAGAAAACATTGGGAGGTATGTAGATAATTTTTTTTTTTAAATTATGTCAGACTGATCTTCCTGATTTGTTTAAAAATAAATTAATTGATTATGATACATGTATATGCTAACCAGCCCAGGCATTTAGTTCTATTTTTTACAATAATTAAAGGTGAAGAGGATTCTAAAGAGGATGACTGTGGTCCTGCAATGATTTGTAGTGATCATTCTGATGAAAGGTGTTCCCTTGATATTTTAGAGAAAACAGTGGGAGGTATGTAGATAAATATTTGAATAGTCTTGTTTTGAACTGTCCTTCCTCTCTGAGCATTTTAAAAAGCTTAACTGGTAGTTATTTCAGAAAAAATGATGTATTTTTTTAATAAGATAAATTAATTGAATATGATACATGTACATATGTTAACCAGTCCAGGCATTTAGTTTTCTTTTTTCCTTGACAATAAAGGTCAAGAGGATGTTATCATGGAAGACTGTGGTCTTCAAGAGGATGATACAAAGGAAGAATGTGGTCCTGCAATGGTAGACAGTGATCGTGCTGATGAAAGGTGTTCCCCTGGTGTTTCAGAGAAAAAGGGGAGAGGTATGTAGATAAATTAATATTTAAAAATCTTGTTTTGGACAGTCCTTCCTCTCTCAGTATTAAAGCTTTTTTAAAAAGATAAATTAATTGAATATGATACATGTGCATATGTTAACCTATCAATGCATTTAGTTTTTTCTTTTTTTTCCCTTTGACAATAAAGGTCAAGAGGATGTTATCATGGAAGACTGTGGTCTTCAAGAGGATGATACAAAGGAAGACTGTGGTCCTGCAATGGTAGACAGTGATCGTGTTGATGAAAGGTGTTCCCCTGGTGTTTCAGAGAAAAAGGGGGGAGGTATGTATAGGGAACTCTAGAGTATGAGCTTTTGATTTTCAGATGAACACAATTAATATTTGTATTAATCTTCACAAATAAGCTTTTGGTATTAATCTCTTTCTTTATAATATATATTGTATACTTTTTTATTCTTAAGTTATAAGAATTCAATCTTAAGTATATAAAACTGTAATATCAGCCTGGATAGCTCAATCTGTAGAGAACCTGACTAGTGATGCAGGGGTCCTGGGTTCGATTCCGGGTCAATTCCGGGTCCTTCCATACATTTTTTCCTTTCCTGTTACAAAATATATTTAATTTAAGGTCACTGTTCCTGCATAGAGGAAGAGGACAATGGAATTAGTCTTCAAGGAAACATCCCTCATATCACAGTGTCTGGCAAGTCCACTCTAACAGAGAAGGTAAATTTCTCTGAAATCACGAAGTCATGTAATAACATTTCTTGAAATTTTGCAGTAGACAAGGATATATTATATACATTTGCATACTTTCTTGAAATTCCAATTGATCAATTTATTGGGTTTTATGACCCTATTCAAATTATTTATTGTATTCACTGCAAGCTTTGCAATTCAATATTTGTAGCATTCCAAGTACATGTTATGTCATTGCTAATGTGAGTTTGTCATTTTATATTTTTCAACAGAATTATCTTTACAAGATTTTGAAGAAGTGTTTCCAAAATATTAGTCTTTTTTGTTTATCATGCATTTATCACATTTATAGATAGATAGAGGGGTTTGAGAGGGGATAGCAGAATAACCAGGGCATTATGTCATTATAGGCGGGGAAATTCCCCAGGTCTCAGGGACAACCCTGGATCATAGATCCATAAATGGACAGACAGATAGATAGATAAATAGACAGATAGATAGATTGATAGCCATTGAGATTTATATATAATTATTTCATATTTAAGGTACAAGCAGAAATGGTGGACGACATCATTGGTCAAAGGATGAGAAAAATGCCATTGAGCGCCAGTTTTCTGAATATTTCAAATCTGGACATACACCTGGTCGATTAGCATGCTTAAATGCAATTGCAAAAGAACCAATACTCTCAAAACATGACTGGTCCAAGATAAAGCATACTGTTAGAAATATGATCATTTCACAAAAAAGGAAACTATACAAGGCTTAAATATTTCATATCTTATTTCATTATTGTATGTTAAAATTAAAGAAGACATGGGAAAAGGAGGGCATTATTCCTTGTCTCCTACATTTCTTAGCCTGTATACATGTTTGTTTGGTTGTTTATATATTTGTTAGTTTGTTTGTTTTTGGTTACGATTTAATGTATTTATCTGCTTATATATGTAATATGATCAAACAGTAAAACTTAAAATTCTAATTGTTCTAATTGGCTAATTGCAATCCAGTGAAACCAATGAGAAGAAAGTTATACATGTATGATGATCTTAATGTTGAAACTGAGCTTTGGAAAATTGACATATCTATTGTTTATTTTTTATCAGTTGTTTTCAGATTCAATGCAGATAGATATAAATTAAAGTCTGATAATTTCAACTAGCCTATAGATTTTACTTTGTAATCAATATTGCATGAAAAATCATACATGAACTTAAAGCATGAAAATAGAGTTTATATTAGTGATTATGTCATTCTTTTCTTGTCTAGGCCCTGTACATATTTTTGTTTTTCTATTAAATGAACATAGAATTTATGTACATGTATCTCTTTTGATAGATCATAACAATATGAATATTTTATCTACATGTAGATTCTGATATGAAATTGATATTCAGATTTATAATTATTAAAATATTAACATGAAAATGATCTTGCACAAGTACGTACTCTAGGTTTTTGTTGTTGTTTTTTATCTGCATGGTCATTGTTGATTTCTCTAAAATAAAATGTCTTTGCTGTATCTAATTTTTAGCTACACTCTTTTTCTGCCAGTTTTATTGTGTATTCTAATGTTTTCCTTTGTAACAAAGAAACTGTATTTTACTATTTGAAACATGTAGATTAGCTGTTTTTAATAAGCCATGGCATACTTGTACAAGTTATCCATTATGGCCAAAGATCTAATGTACCTTCATGTACCCTTTGTTTTAGAAATTGATACTTCACAAATACGTACAATTGAACTTCGATATCTCGAATATCATGGATCTATCGAAGTCATTTTGAACCAAACTGCGTATTCCTTAAGTATTTAATCCTGGATATCTCGAATTTTTGGTTATTTCGAAGTATTTTCTCAGTCCCTTCGAGTTTGAGATAACGAGGTTTGACTGTATTTATATAAAGGATAAATGTATAACATATTCAATATTTCCGTTAGAAGGGCTTAGTTTTGTTATTACTGGTTTAAAATGTATTTATCATTATTTTTTATGATATATTAGCTGTTAATATAATGACATTAATGTTATGAATTCGATGTTGAGTCAATTTGAAATAGTCTGCTAATATATTTTTATAGTTATTAAGTCATTTCTATGCAATGAATTTCAATTTGTACAAATAATGAATTCTTATATGTTCAATAAATAATTTCATTTTTGTAATCTTTGTTGAAACTTAATCTAAAGGAGATGAAAAGAGACAATTTTAGTAAACATGTGTTATTATATGTCGGTGTGCTTGCGTAATTGCGATTCATGCTTACATTACAACTGAAAGTAATTTTAGTATTTTTTTCTCTGAAGTATTCATAAACACGTTTGAATTGCAGAATTACAGAAATTTAATATAGGGATAAACTGAGCAACTGATATCTGAGATGTGTTAAGGCACTTCGTTACATTGAAAGTATCGCTGACTTTTAAGGTCTAAAATGTTAAGCTAATAGAGAAGTCGTCATACACTGAAGCATATCAATAATACATATTTTTTTTAACCGAAAGAATGTATATATACATACATGTAGTTTTGTAATTTAGGTGTTATATTGATAGTGTGTATGTGAAATGTTCAGTTGAATGTTTGTAAAAGGCATAATTGGAATCAATTACGTCTGATATCGGCAAATAATTAGCTTTGTACTACATCTACATCCATACGTTACAAAAACACTGTCTTCTTAGACCTTTAAGTTTCGGTGAGCGGTGTTGCTAAAAGCCCGATTAATTTTTAAAAATAATATTGTTTATCAAGCAAGAAAGATATGGAGATAACGAACAGTATTCAATCTCAAAGTTCATTAAACATTATGCAAAACAAGAGCAGAGCAAACACGGACCTCCGAAACATCAGAGGTGGGATCAGGTGCCATGGAGGAGTGAGCATCCCTTGCTGGCTGGTCACACCCGTCGTGTACTCGTTGTCATGATCAGGAAATAACGGAAAAAATCCGTCGTCAATTCAGTGTATAAATAATGGACTAACAATTGGTATGAAAAACGTCAGTCAGCATTTGACTCTATGATAAATAATATTTGCTGACAAGGTAATTGTATCGACCATAGAACTTACGAAATGATGACTTTAAACGAGACTGTTGATATTCTTGTTTCATTCAACTTGCTTGTCAATAATTTACCTCGTTTAAGAAATTGTTCAGAATACGTAGAGCATGCTCTTGCGTATCGAATCAATTGAGATATACATGTATATACTCCGTATGCATGTGATGAAGAAATATTGCTGCATCAAATAATATAAACGAAACAAATTTAAAACAATTCATGGAAGTAAATTCTCTCGCTCTCTCTCTCTCTCTCTCTCTCTCTCTCTCTCTCTCTCTCTCTCTCTCTCTCTCTTTTGAATTGACCTATCGATCGATCACTCAGAGAGAAAATAGAATTAGTATGGAACAGATGTACCTTTTAGTGTACAGGAACTTTTTTTGTCCCCCGCTTTTGCGAAAGCGAGGGGACATTAAATCTTATTCATCTGTCAGTCTGTCACAAAAACTTTGACCTTGGTCATAACTTTTAAATGAGAAGAGACAGGGCCTTCATATTTCACATGTATATTACCTCTGACAAGGCCTTTTCAAATAAACTACGACTCCTCCCCCGTGACCTTGACGCTTGACCTTATTTTCGAAAATGTTATCTTTGCTTATAACTTTTGATTGAGAAGAAATAAGACTTTCACATTTGACCTGTGCCAATACCTTTTAAAATATGCTATGGTTTTTTTTTACCTCATGACCTTGACTTTGATATTTGACCTACTTTTCAAAATTATATCTTTGCTTATTCCTTTTGATTCAGAATAGATAGGGCTTACATATTTGACGTATATTACAAGTGAGGTGTTGCTGAGCATGCTATTATTTTTTAGCCCTTGACCTTCCTGTTTGACCTAATTTTCAAAATACATTTAACTTGGGTGATTTATTTTGAATGATATATAATAGGTTGTTGATATTTGACAAGTGCATTACCTGTGTCAATTTTTTTTCGAATATGCTATGATATTTGACCCCATGACCCTGACCTTCAAATTGACCTAATTTTCAAACATTTCATAAGTGTTGTTATCTTTTGAAGGAGTGAAGATTGGACAATCATATTTGACACGTGCATTACCTGTGACAAGCATTTCCAAATGTATTATGATTTTTAATCCCATGATCATTAAAGTTTGACCTCATTTTCAACAAAGCGGTTACAATATGCCATAAAAATGGCATCCACTAAAACACCGAAAGCGGGGGACCACAATTCTTTGAATTTGCTTTATTTTATTTTTGAAAACCAATTGAAATGACTAAAAAACTACATGTACATGTAAAACTACACACAGGGACCAAGCATGTATATATGCGTACAATGCACAATGTAGCTTATGCAAGAGAATGCATAAGAATATCGACGCAATTTTAAAAATATAAATAATAAATTATCTATAAAAGCAAAAAGAGGGATTCATTCTTTATCAAGATATTGGAAAGTTGGTCGTAAATCTCTCTCTCTCTCTCTCTCTTTCTCTCTCCAAGGTATTACGACAGTCTGAAAAATGAAGCTTTATATATATTTGTAATAAAGAAATCGTTATGGCATATCAATTATACATATTTTTACAGGAAGAAGGTATACATGTAGATGTAAATAGTTCTGTGATTTCGGTGTTATATTGGTACTGTACGTGTTTGTAAAATGTTAAGTTGAACGTGTATAAAAGACATAATGTTAATTTCTTTGAATGATTGCGTCTGATATAGGCAGATAATAAGTCCTTTTATTATTCACTGTATATAAGTCATGAAATTATACAGAAAATTTGAGAAATTAACAAATCTGTGTCTACACCTTTAAGATTTTTCAAACAAAAAATTCTTAAGTGTGCTCTTACAAACTGGCTGATCGCCTGCGTTGCGCAGTGGGTAGAGCGATTGGAATTAGTGGTTAGAGCGATTGTTCTAGGGTTGCGGAGTAAGAAGCTGACCCTTACGTTGATCCTTACGTCGCGGGTTCAAATCCCACCATATGACGTGAGACCTTTAAATCGAGGTCCCGTGTCGCAGTAGGTGTTGGTACGAAAAAGATCCCTCACTGTTCAATGATCATGATTGCTGGGTATAGGTATAAATTTGCAGCCCTCCGCCGCAAGTTGTGGCGTCTCAATATGAGGGGAAAATTCTCGACGTTAAAAAAAAACAAACAAATAAAAATTATTGATAAGGATTTAAAATAGTGAAAAAAAATATTCTACTCGAGGACCCACTTTCACATCCTGGCAGTGATGAAAGCGAACATTATGGAACGCCGTCACTGCCTTATAGCAGAACACTACTATTGCATTGTGTCAACCTTCCATTACATTATGTCAACTCTTTATGACATTAACCTACACTACTATTGCATTGTGTCAAACTTCCATTACATTATGTCAACTCTTTATGACATTAACCTACACTACTATTGCATTGTGTCAACCTTCCATTACATTATGTCAACTCTTTATGACATTAACCCACACTACTATTGCATCGTGTTAACTTTCCTTAACAATATGTCAACTCTTTATGACCTTTACACATACTACAATTTTATTTCGTCAACTTGCATTTCGTTATCTTTACTTTTCTTGACAATCTTAGTTTTTATTAACTGATGTGAAAAGCTCATGCCACTCTTCTACATTATGGCGATTCACTATATCGTTATGCGAACGCGGGTATCCTCGGCCCTTATATGAGCATAACGTAATTTCCGCATTCCGCAAGCACTAAAAATGGCGGGAGAGAAAAATATCGTAGAAGAGATTCTCAGCGATTTCGGAATGACATTTTAAATGAAAATTTTAAGCGACAAATGATTGACAATCTTGAAACATGCAAAGCCTTAACACTGCGACTGTGAATTAAAGTCACGTCGAAATTCAATGGTGTTTACTTTAATCTGATAATTAAATAACTCAAATATTATGAGTCGTGCAGCAATCATTTTTTTTCTTTTTATTTTGAATTGTTTTCTTTTTTTTTTTTTATAAAAGTCTTAAACTTTGTAGGACATTGCATTAGTTTCACATTAAGTTTAGCTGAATTAAGTTGAAAACTTATTTTCTATAAAACTATAAAGCCTGAGAGCTTCTCCGCTTTCCGTCCTTTGTCTCCAACCATATACCGTCCCCCTTCCTTGTTCAAGATTCCCATATCTGCCACTGATATGCGCACATGCATACTTACTAAGGCATATTCAACTGATTTAGGTGAGCGACTGGTAGATTTCTGGAATGATTAAAAAAAATTACTAACTCCAGTGACGTAGCATCTTTTTTTGAAAGAGGAGGTCAGCCAGAAAAAAAAATCATTTACCCGAAAAAACTTTACAAGCCAAGAAAAAAATGTCCAAGCCCGAAAATCCTATTTCTGGGAGAGGGGTCCAACTTCGATCAGTCCTATTTTTTTCCAGATATATTACATTAACCTTAGTGGACTA